ATTGGAAATCACTGTGGCGGAAAGGAAAAATTTATTTAAAAGAAAGAATAAAGAAAGAAAGGAAAAAGTACCTGCCACAAAGGCAGGCTTGGGGTGGGCAGAAAGGAAATAGAGGACATTGGTGGAGGGAAATGAAACTGGTGAAGGGATTGGTGTTGAAGCATTGTTCACCTGGAACTCAGTCTCCAGTAACCTTGTATCTTTGTGATTCATGGTGATCCTTTTTCTTTTTCTTTTTTGGATCACACCCAGCGATGCTCAGGGGTTACTCCTGGCTCTGCACTCAGGAACTACCCCTGGCCATGCACTGGGGACCATATGGGATGCTGGAAATCGAATCCGGGTCGGCGGCATGCAAGGCAAACACCCTACCCGCTGTGGCTATGTGATTCTGTTTTTAAAGAAATCATTTGCTCAGGCTGTTGAGAGCACTCTCTTCCACCACGATATTTTTTCCAACTCTATGCAGAAAGCATATAATAGAGAAACCGTTCCTAAGGAATTCCTCGTCTTTGTATCTTTTTTTATGATTTCATTTATCTTTTTCAACTTTCATTTTTGATTTTTGTTTTTTGGGGGCCACACTCAATGGTGCTCAAGGCTTACTCCTCGCTATGTGCTCGGGGCTCACTCCTGGCAGTAGTTGGGAATGTGGTAGTGGGAATGTGGGAATGTAGGGATCAAACCCCCGTCAGTCATGTGCAAGGCAAATGCTTACCCATTATACTATCTCCCGTGCTTCTGCTTTTGTCCTGTCTCCTTCCCAGCCAAACCCCCAATATTTCAGCCAAACCCCCATATATATATATATGTGATGGTAGAAGCAGTGGATCATTACTGATTTGGACTTAAGCTTATGCACTTTTTTTCTGACCAGTTTGAAGTGTTTGTGGCTTAAAGTAGTCCTATAACCTTTGTGAGCCTGTTCCCTCTTCTGTGGGAAGGAAGTAGTAGTGCCTCACCTTCTTAGTTGTAGGGATTGAGAACATGAATATAAAGCAGTTAGCCCAGCACCTCATGCATAGCAGCCACCTTTATTCATTTTATCTTTCGGTTTCAGATTTTTTCTCTCAGATGTTTCTGGTCTTATACTCCCCTGCTCTCTTGGCCCTATTTTGTATTTCTCAGAGAAGCAATGTCTGGGTATAAGCAAGCAAGAGAAAGAGAAGGATCCTGGATTTCTGTTCTAAGAGAAAGTCAGATTTGGGACAGGGCTTGTAGAGGCAGGCCTGGGGCTGTGCTGGAGGGTTGATCAGGCTATATTTTTGGGGGGGACCCAAACCAGTAGCTCTGAAGGACTGCTCATGTCCAGGGTTTGCAAGACTATACTGGGAAGTGCTGGGAGTATGGGGGGCTTCTGGTGTTGGGGATCAAACTCAGAGCTTTGTTCAGGCACAGTATATTCTCTGCCACATGAACAACGTCCCTAACCTCTCACACTACTCACTGAGTATAACTAGTTGTTGAGCAAGAGTAGTTGAACAAGGGATTAGATGACATAACTCAAGCCAGTGTACCTTGGAGTTTATACAATGTGACTTTTCAAAATGTCCTATGATTTCCCCTAAAATCATAATACAGTCATTCACAAATACATTCTTCAAGAAATAGATATAATGGGGCTGGAGCAATAGCACAGCGGGTAGGGCGTTTGCCTTGTATGTGGCCGACCTGGGTTCTCTTCCCAGCATCCCATGTGGTCCCCCGAGCACCGCCAGGAGTAATTCCTGAGTGCAAAACCAGGAGTAACCCCTGAACATCGTTGGATGTGACCCCCCCCAAAACAAAACAAAACAAAAACAAAAGAAATAGATATAATTTTGTTTCTGTTCTTCCACTTGTATTCTGCTCAAAGCATGTCACATGCTTATCTGCTTTTCTTAATTGTATTGTGTCTCCTGACCCTCTCCCTCACCCCACCCCACCAGTACTCTCTGACAAACAGGAAATACATTACAAAGCTCATCTCCCAACTGCTTGGACCTACTGGGGGATTTGGATCCTTAGTGCATTATTGTGGTAACATAGAATTTATTTCTGTGGCATTGGAAATAGTCTCTGTCCCTACTTCTGAGTTTCAAAGGTATCTAGGGTGGTAAGGGACACCAGAAATAATCTAGCTCAGTCTTCTCATTTATATACAGGGGAGGAATACCATGGATCTATTGGACAGGTTGATGCGCACATACCCCAGGGATACTAATTGATACGTTTCTTAGTACCTGATTATATACGCCATTCATTTATTTAGTAATCTTTGAGCTTCTCTGATAGTGTTCAGTGCTGAGAAAATTTCTGTATGTCTCTGTGTGTTTTCTGGAAAGCTAAAATTTCCAAAGGCAAGAAGGAAGAAAACTTCTGAAGACTTTAAGACTTTAGAAAATAAGTGGAGATTCCTGGCTAACATATCTCTTTCCCCTCATATTTTAATTTTCTGTTGTTTAGGGCATAGGTTAAGTGATTATTTGCGGGGCTGAATAAGCCTTTGGCGACTGATTCTGGAAATATTGTCACACTGCTATGTCTAATTTTAATTTATTAAATTTTATGTAGCTGCTGAGGTGTATATATGTATATGGTGCCTTTTCCTGACAAAAGCAGATGAAACCTGTTCTTTTTTTAAAAAAAAATTTATTGACTCACTGTGAGATAGTTACAAGCTTTCATGTTGGGGTTACAATCACACAATGATCAAACACCCATCCCTCCACCAGTGCACATTCCCCACCGCCAATATCCCCGCTATACCCCCCTTTCCCACCCTCTGCCTTCATGGCAGACAGTATTTTCGATACGAAACCTGTTCTGTAAGTAGAAAGTTAGTCTTGAGTTTTACTTTCTTTTAGGCTCAGACTAATTTTAAGTTCAGAATCATTTGTAGGTAATGTTCCCATACAAATAGCATATGGTGGAACAGTGTTCTTTCTTTACTTGTTTTGCATTGTTTTTCTAATTAACTCATTTTTTAGGAACTGAAGATGCAGCTCAATAGGATGAGTGTGTCCCAGGCTCATCCCTCCCACACAACGTGGTCCTCTTCATTGTGAGGAATAACCCCTGAGCATTGAACTGGGCGTAGCCTCCAAGCACTGCTTAAGTGTGTGACCCCAGAAACAAAAAATTAATATAAGAATACACATGAAAACATGCTTTGTTCTTATGTCCCTCGGATGCACTTTTTTTTGTTTTGTTTTGTTTTTGGGTCACACCCAGCAATGCACAGGGGTTACTCCTGGGTCTGCACTCAGGAGTTACTCCTGGCGGAGCTCAGGGGACCATATGGGATGCTGGGAATTGAACCCAGGTCGGCCGCATGCAAGGCAAATGCACTACCCGCTGTGCTATCTCTCCAGCCCCATCGGATGCACATTATGCTAAAGTCTTTTCCTTTTCTTCCTTCTCTACCCTTTGTTGCTGTTGCATTCCCAGGACTCACGTGGGCTTGTCCTAGTACTTGCACACGTGGTTGTGATGCTCCCTCACACGTGCCGGAGTGCTCATGGGGGCAGTACTCCTCCAGTGCTTTAGTGCTCAAGTCTGGTTGTAGCGTGTACCAGGGGTTGCTCTGGTGCTTCCACACATACTCACTGAACATTGCACTCTTGGCCAGAGTACTCACACATGCCTTCAGTTGCTGCCAGGGGTCGTGCGTTCACCTGCAGTGCACCCACACACCTGGTTGTGTGTGTGCCTCAAGTCCCCAGAAGGGAGTTGCTGGGACCTTGTCTTGGTGCATTGCAGATGACACTAGAGATCAAACTCATGTCCTCATGTTTTCCAGACAGGTGCTTTACTCAGCCCTCTCTGGCTGTTTCTGGCTAAGAATTTTCCATTTGAGGGCTTGGAAGATTGCACAGTGGTTAGGAGCCCCCTGAACATTGCAGGTGCTGCCCTGGAGAATCCTGAGCATCTCCAGGGTCGCCCCAGTAATCCCCAGCACCTCAGCGTCAGAGCAACAGTGCATTGGGCCATACCGGCTAGTTGGCTGAGAACCGCTGTGCGGCCTCAGACTTCTCAGCTTCACCAGGGAGGCTCCCACCCACAGTCAAACAGGGCTTTTTCATTTGAGTGCTCTAGGAAAAAAAGATAATTCTAGTGCATTGGACACATTTTAATTTTTTATAAAGTGTATCTAATACATGGAACTTAGTAGTAATGAATATCAGGGGTACATAATAAAATTAAACTACAGCTGCACTCAAATTTTGATTTTGTTTTGTTTGGGGGCCACACCCGGTGGTGTTCGGGGCTTATTCCTGACTCTGCACTCAGGGATCACTCCTGGCAGAGTTTGGGGAACCGTATGGGGTGTTGGGGCCAAACCTAGGTTGCTATGTGCAAGGCAAGTGCCTTAAGTACTGTACTGTCTCTCCGGCCCTTTCTTTTGACTTTTCAGGAAAGCAATTCTCTTTATAACTGAGAATTCTTAATTGTGGTCATCTGGGAGAAATATTTTTTTTCTGTGTTTTATGCTTGGGTTCATAGGTATGAACCGATGAACCTGCATGCAGTGGCTGAGTACTCCAAACTTTGTTCTTTGGAGTAGCTCTTGGTGATGCTCGGGGGACCATGTAGTATCAGAGACCCATCCAGGGAGCAGGACCTGATGCCTTAATCCCTGTACTATCATTCCTGTTCAATTTTTTTCGTTTGAAAATATATGGGGGGGGGGGGGTTGAAGGGCCATGGGCAACACCCATGCACTGACCTTTTTCTTTTGAATTTACATTTATAATTTGTTTGAGAGAAAGTCCATCTGAAGTTTTGGGACATGTACATGAAAGGATATTAGCTGAAAGGGTTTAATTAATGAAACTAATTATGGAAACTTCTTAAACTTACTATTGCCAGCCATTACTCTTATGAAAAGAAAGACTGTTAATGGAAGTTCTGGCACTTGGATTCATGTCATTGATCCATGGCAAGAAGCAAATGATATGTGAATAATTTTACTAAGTAATTTTATGTATTGTTTTGTTGTTCTGTGTTTCTGTTTTTAGGACCGGAGTAGGCCCTATGACACTTTTAACTTGCACTCGTTGGAGAACTCCTTAATGGATATGATAAGGACTGATCATGAGCCTCTGAAAGGTAAACACTACCCTCCCAGTGGGCCACCAATGAGTTTCGCTGATATAATGTGGAGGAATCATTTTGCAGGTTAGGAATATTCATATGTCCATTCCTTGCTTGGTGTTTTAAACAAAAATCAGTTTTTTTAATCATTGTAATTCTTTAATTTTGTTTGCTTTTGTTTTTCTTCTGTATAGCATTGTGGAATTTATTTAAAGTTGTTTTTTCTTTTTAAATCTGGGTTCAGCTGAAATAATCCTATGATAATCAGGGTGGATTGCTTTTATTAGTAATGTCTGGCAGAAGCATGTGTTGGTTGGGTAACTGAGGTCGCAGTTATAGCATGTGATCAGAAGTCAAGTTTTCTGAGCATTGTGCATTTAAAATCAGCAGACTCTGGATAATCCACTGCAATTAAATAGACTGCAAGGAAGTATGAGATTTAGTAAGCCAATCTCCAGAAACCTTATAGAAAAGGATTCTGTTCTATAATAACACGGTCACTTTCCTACTGTAGGAATTGTTACTCCACAGATTAAGAGCAGTCCCGATGCCTTCTCTTGGGCTGAAAACACAAGGACGGTGACTGAAAGTGCATAAAGATTTGGGGTTAACTTTAAGTCAATAAGTCCCAAAGTCAGAACATTAAAAGTTCTATTTTCAGAGCCAATTAAATTCAGAATAGATGCTGCTGTTACTTTCATAAGTACAGGTAGTTTCATGGGTTACAGAACATCTTAGTGGTCCTGGGTCCTAAGTTACTTTGCAAATTCTACAATGGAAGTTATTAGTAGAAACATCCACTCCAGTTGGGTTTAGAACCTGGCTACTTGAAAAAGTTAGCCCCAGGAATGCTTTTTTTGTACAGACAATTTTGTATCCTCTGGAATTATGAAGATTCTGATCTCTGGTTCTCTCCAGGTCTTTATATAGGGTATGAAGGCTGTGAACACCTGATAGTCATTTCTTCAAGCCACACCAGAAATCCATCCTATCATTCTCTTGTCACACTCATGATTTTCTGCTGTTTTCTCTAATTTCCACTGAAAAGAAAATTGCTAACAGACTGAAGCAAATTAAGGATTTTAAGAAAAGCTGTGTTTTAGAAGTATTAAAAAAACTCATTTATTCACTATTATATTTAGCCACTGTTACCATGTCTTTTTTCAGTTTAAAGATTAGGCACATGGTAATTTAAAGGCCTTTTCACTTAGAAGTGAGAATGGTGTTAAAAACAACAACAACAACGTTATTCACAGGCCTTTGGTTTTAGCATTTTCTAAGGCAGCATTAATCTTCTTTATTATGAACAACTCTAAGCCTCACCTAAATTCTAAAATAATTCAATCCTTTTCATGCATATCTGCTTTATCTTGGTCTGTATTCTTTCTTTTAGCAAGAAAACATTATCAAAGAGTCTTAGATTTGAGTCTGGAATAATTTTCCAGAATTTTTAAGCAAGGGTGATTGTGCTTTGTCAGATTAGTGCTACAAGAGTGTAAGATGGAACTTCACTATGGGACAATGTCAGTGCCTTAGTCCATTGGGTAGTATTTGGGGGAGGGGGAGCGAGGGTCACACCTGGCAATGCTCAGGGGGTTATTCCTGGTTCTGCACTCAGGATACTCCTGGAGGTATTTGAGAGACCAAAGGGGGTGCTGTAATCAAACCCAGGTGGGGTGTGTGCAGGGTGAGCACCCTCCCCACTGTACTATCTCTCCAGCCCCCTATAAAAGCCTTCTGCATTGCCTTACAGTAGCAATGAATTCTTCTGTGTTCATTGTAAGGTCCACAATGAGTTTTTTTTTTCCCCCCCCACTTTTTGTGTCACACCCGGCAATGCACAGGGTTACTCCTGGCTCATGCGCTCAGGAATTACTCCTGGTGGAGCTCAGAGGACCAGATGGGATTCTGGGAATCGAACCCGGGTTGGCCACATGCAAGGCAACTGCCCAACCCACTGTACTATCGCTCCAGCCCCCCACAATGATTTCTTATGAGTAGGCGACTTCTGTAATGAATACAGTACCATGTCATTGCCTCTAGTTGGAGAAGTTGAACTTCCTGTCTCCTTTCTTTGTTTTCTTATTTTCGTTTTTGGACTGCACCTGACCATACTCAGGGCTTACTCCTGACTCTGTGCTCAGGAGTTTCTCCTGGTAGGATTGGGGCGACCATATGTGGTATTGGGTGTTGAACCTGGGTTGGCTGCACGCAGGGCCAGCACCTTGCCCATTGTACTGTCTCTCTGGTCTCTAAAAATGGAGAGTTTTTAAAAGAATAAAAGAGGAACTAAAAAAGAAACGCTTGGGCCAGAGAGCCAGGAGTCAGCCCTGAGCGCTGCTGGGTGTTCCAAAAACCGAGGGGGACCAAAAAAGGAAGGAAAGAAAGAAAGAAATGTGCCAGTGTCTCTTTCATTTCTGTTTCCCACCTATAAGCATTATCATGTTTTATTCAATTTTTATTTTTTATTGATAGGCTTAACTTGGGTCTCACAGTCCAGATCTTATCAGATGCCAGTGTCTTTTGGTCGTAACCCCTGAAGTTTAACACTTAAATATTTCCAATTTTTTCCCTCCATTATAGATCCTACTAACAGAGACGATCTCTGGCACAGCTTTGCTTTCCCTTCCTTTCCCTCTCCTTCCCTCCCCTTCCCTTCTCTGCTCTCTTTTTTCATTTTCCTACCCCATCTCTCCCCTATACCCTTACTCTCCCTTTCTCTTGTCTTTCCCTTTTCTTCCCTGTCATACCCCATGGTGCTTGGCAGCTCCTTCTGCCTTGGTGCTGGGGTGACCGACCATGTGGTACTGGGTACCGGATATGGGCTCCTGCATGCAAAGCCTGCACTTTAGCTCTTTGACCAATCACTCCGAGTCCTCGCCCCTAGTTTTTCTTTTATTTCTTTGGCAAGGGGAGAGGGGTGTTCATCAGTGCTCAGGAGTTCTGGGGTACCACTTCTAGCAGCCCTGGACTTACTGGTGCAGACCTGAGGCTTCGGTGCCCAGCAGAGCTGGAGGCCACTACATCTGTCTCAGCAGTGTTCAGGGTCCATGAGGGCTACTCTGCCGGTGCTCAAAGGCTCAGGGGATCATGCAGTGCAGGAGTGGAACTCAGGATCTCCACATGGAAGACACGTGCCCCAGTCCTTTGAACTTTCTCCCTGGCCTGCATAGAATTTTATTTTTTTATTTTGTTTTTTGGGCCATCCCTGGCTCAGAAAACCATATTTGGTGCTGGCCATCGAATCCTTTCACTTGTTCAAGGCGAGTGTCTTATTTCTTCGTCTCCACTTAGTGTTTTTTTATTTTTCTTAAAGGTCTATCTTAGAGTCAGTCTCTAAGTCAGAAGATCTAAGTATCAGGAGGGAGTGAGGGAGAATCATGCGATCTGGTCCTGGTACACGATGGGACAGATGGGACAGACATGGAGCTTTTTGTCAGCTGCCCGCAGCCCATCTGCCTGTATTACATGACCCACAAATGATGTTATAAATATCCAAATGGCCCTTGGCAGCTAGAAGGTTCTTCAGCTCGGCTCTACGTAATTGAGTTTGAAGAGGGAGTAGGTAGACCAGCGGGCTTACTGTGTGAATCTATCGAGAGTACTTCCCTCTACTCCACCGTGTTTTTCCTTCCACCTTTTTTCTTTCTTTTTCTTTCTTTTTTTTTTTTTTGGAGAGGGGCACACCCTCTCCGCGCTCTGCTCAGGGCTTACTTCTGTTCTGGCTCTGGGGATCACTTCTGGTGTACTCCGGAGACCAACCAGGGTGCCGGGGACCAAACTCCCTGGGTCAGCAACTAGCAAAGCAAGTGCCTTACCGTCTGTGCTAACACTCTGGCCCCTTCACCTTTTGTCTCCTGCTTGAAGTATCTGAAGGATCTCAAAACTCAAGTTACAGTTAATTGGGATTTGATATACTTGTTTGTTTTGATGTTTTTCCTCTAGAGCTCAGTTTCTCTAGAACAATTGCATTATTGCCCTTTGTACGAATTTCAGATAGTAAAAGGCAAGATAAAGAGGGAAAGAAATCACCCTAGACTACCCAGTGATATGAAAATTTTTGTTATTTTTGTTAACATCCTTCTAGACACTTGATATTCTCTGTATAGAAATTGAACTTTCTATCAAACCTGTAGTGATACTTGGTTTGGCTAAGATAGGAATGATTTCAAGGTGCAAGGAATTACTTTCTGCCTTCATTTCTCATTAGCTGAAGGGGGATATCCAGTTTGCCTCATGTTCATGAGGAATAAGGGGATATCTGTCAGAGGAGACGAGTGGATGAGGTTCATTCCTAAATGCTCCAAGCTGTCTCCTGGCCTGGTAGTAATGATGAAGGTTTACCTTGCCACTGGGAAACCCCTGTGTAAACCCAAGTTCATTAGGCTTGATTAATCTTCCCTCCCTTAGGATTAATGCTCAAAGAGGACAAAGTAATGAGAAAGAGAGAGAGAACAGAGAAATGCCCACCACAGTACATTGGCCATAGAGGTACTATATATATAGCACATCAGCGTTGCGAAAAATTGGAAGGCTGAGGAGATTGCTTAGAGGAGGGGTTTTGGCATTACAAAGGACGTTTAAAAAAAATCATCACAGTTTAAAGTTTAGTAATACAGAATCTTTAAAAAAAAAGTCTCCTGTACAGTCTCCTTGGTTTGAAATTACATTTATTTATTTATTTATTTATTTTGGTATTTGGGCCACACTGGTATTCAAGGATCCCTCCTGAAAGGCCTGGGGGCACCATATGGGGTGTGGGGGGTCGAATCCTGGTCCATCGCATGCACGGCTTGTGCCCTACTCACTGTACTATCATTCTGCCCCCACTACAGTTCTTTTTTTGTATTACCATTTTTGAACCTATGTTAGTTTATCTTGTAGATGTCACAGAGCTTGGGTTCTGGTTCATTGAGCACACTGTCAGTCAAACAAACACTGTCCTCCCGTTGCTCATTGATTTGCTCGAGTGGGCCCAGTAACGTCTCCATTTTTTTGAGACTTATTGTTACTGTGTTTGGCATATTGAATACGTCACGGGGAGCTTGCCAGGCTTTGCCGTGTGGGCGAGATACTCTAGGTAG